GAGAAAGTAAATCTTTATTGAAAGAGCCTTTCTCCCCATCCCTTTTTAGCTATTGAAAAGAATTGTAAAGAATATTTTAAAATAGAATTAGACAGTGGTTTTCAAACAAAGAAATAGCCACATAGGTTAGAAAAAACATGTCTTTTCTCAACTTGGGAGCGTTCTCTGGTGATTACGCCATATTTATTGGTTGGGTGAAATAAATTTTTTAAAAGCTATTTAAAGAATTAGGCAACAAAAAAAGTTACTGTAATTTTGAGGAGACAAACAAGAGGAGAGCACTATTATGTAAATAATACTAGGTGCTTTTGTTTTGTTTTGTTTTTGATAGAACAAAAGATTGGATTGATAATGTGCAGTGTAAATTAGTTTAAAAACGGTAACAGCTTTGATCGATTAGAGTCTGTTGTCATATTGTAGCAAGGATTAAAGTTTCTAAATTCTGTACTGTAAAATGAACATAGAGAAAAGTATGAAATACATTTTATAGAACATATTTCGTAATATCAAAGCTTTTATGAAGTGTTATGTATTCATAGGTGGGAGTATTTAAGAATTGCAAATTAAATTGTCATTTAGATATTAAATATAGAATTGAACAGTTTTTGTAAACTGTGTATCAACTGATTTTATCAGTTATAAAATCACTGATAAAAAAGCACTTTTGAGTACTTTCCATTTTTATTGTAAGACAAGAACAGTAATTTTCTAGGGTTATTTGGAAATACTTTTGTGCTTAGCAGCATACTTTGGCTAAAAAGCTACTATGATAGATGAATCTGACAGTATTGCTCTGTCCTTCATAATGTAGTGTTTATCATCTCTCATGTATGAAAATCTCATTTTTATTAGCAGCTATTTTCATGGTAAAACCATTTTCCAGAATTCAGGATCTTAACAAGGAGCTCCAGGGGATCAAGTTTGACTCCTTTTATTACCATGGTAATGCTTTATCAATTTAAACTATGCACCATGATAGTTCTGTATTTAATGATCTCATTGGTTTACTTCCCTTTTTTTTAAAAAGCCAGCTGTACACTTTATTTTTTTTATTGTTTATTTTTATTTTTTTATTTTTGGCCATGCTGCATGCAGAATCTCAGTTCCCCGACCAGGGATCAAACCTGTGCCCACTGCAGTGGTAGCTCGGAGTCCTAACTACTGGACCGTCAGGGAATTCCTGGTTTACTTTCTTTATATTCCAGAATTGAAATAACATTCACTTATCAATACCGCTGAATGATCTCCTTGGGCTTCATTTTAACAATTGCTTGCTTGGCTTTTGTTCCTTTCTTGTTACTCCAACCCCTCCCTCAGGCCAATCACCTCCTGCTCATTTTCTCCTGCCATTTGATACTCTAGCTAGTCATTGCATTATTCTGCTTCCTTCCTTGCTCTTCTGTCAACTCCATTCTGCATTATGCCTTTTTGCCTTTCTGACTTATGGACATCTATGCTCTTTGCTTAACTTAACTGTATGTGGTACTTAAGGGGTCTGCTGTTTAAACTCTGGTTTAGCCAACCCATTTCTTTCATTCAGGCTCTATTTGACATCTGTCTTCTACTTAAAACTAAATGGATGAATACTTACCTGCATATATAAAAACATTTTGTTATTCTAATTGCTTTCGATTGTTTGTTAACGGTGGTATTTCTCCCTAAGTTATACTTACCTGATACTTCTGGTGTTTTAATGTGGTTCTGGTTGGGGGGAAGCGGAGAACTCAGCTATCACCTATGTAGACTTGAGTTTTTCCTTTCCATATATGAAAAAGATTTTTATTTCCAGATTGTCTAGGTTCTTGCTGCTAGAAGTGTGGTGCATGGGCCAGTAGCATCACCATCACCTGTTGGTTAGAAATGCAGAGTCTTAGGCCCCACTCAAGACCTTATGCTTCTTAATCTGAATTTTAACAAAATCTCTAGTCAATGGATATGAACACTGAAGGTTGCAAAACACTGTTGTGTAGGTATCATCTCGCTAGTTGACACAATTAACATGCTGACTGATAAATACCTGTGTACTTTTCTGAGCTGATCTTATTTAAATGTTTATAAATTATTTTGTAACTATTCATCCTGGTTCATCAAAAGTTATATTCTGGGTGGGTATCACTTCTATTATGAGGAAGCAGTGATAAGAATAATCTCAAACAATAGCCAGTCCCAGTTTTTTAAGTGAGGTTTTGTCACATATTAGATCTGAAACTATGACAAACTGTTTGTTTGTTTGGCTGCGTCGGGTCTTAGTTGTGGCATGCAGGATCTTCGTTGCGGTGTGCAGGATCTTTCGTGGTGGCGTGAGGGCTCTTCCTTGTGGTGTGCAGGCTTCTCTCTAGTTGTGGTGCATGGGCTCTCTAGTTGTATCACGTGGGCTCCACAGCGCACAGCCTCAGTAGTTGTGGCACGTGGGCTCAGTAGTTACAGTGAGGGCTTAGTTGTCCCGCGGCATGTGGGATCTTAGTTCCCTGAGCAGAGATCGAACCCATGCCACCTGCGTTGGAAGGCGGATTCTTAACCACTGGACCACCAGGGAAGTCCCTGAAACTATGACAAACATTTTTGAGTCCAGTTTCATTGTTCCATCCTCCAGCATCAGTTTGCATCTGTGGATGAAGAACTGTTCCTTTCTTATCTTTTAGGCTGTGGCTTTTCAAAAGAATTTTGTGCACTTTGAGGTGTGGGAAAAAATACTCAAATTTCTATTTAATTTTTATCTTACATGAACGAAATTATGACTTACTGAAATTTGTTATATTGGTTAATAGTATATATATATAATTTATGAGTAAATAGATATTGAGGGCCCATATTCAAATCTTGCTTGTATGTGATGACACAGGTTTATAGATTCCTCTGTGGTACAATATGACAATCCCAGATTTTATTATTGGACTAGGAAATAATCTTGTAATAAATTCTATACTGTACGTTGCTGTATGTGGTTGCAAATGGATAAGAGATAGTACTTACTATTATTTGTGTATGGTTCATAGAAAAATAATTCTGTTTTCTGAGCACGTATTAATAGGGGCTTAGAGATAGATCTTCTCTGTGCTTACTGTGATATATGTTATATGTGAAGTTAATTCACTGTGTGTGTACAGTTATTTGATGATACCCTGAAACTTAGATTTATTTGTATTATTATTTATATTATTATATAATTATATTATTTATTTATATACTTGCGCTTTAGGAAATAGTTTAAAATGTTTTTAATGTTTTTATTTTCATAGTCATGAAAGAAAAAAGTTCTTATTGCACTTCAAGGAGGAAGAGAATTGAGAACATGCAAAATTAATCTTTTATTATCCTTTAACATTCAAATAAAGTGTGAACAACATGGCTGACCTACAAATGCATTTATGTTTGCATTTTTCAAGAGCAATACTGTTGTTTAATAATGATAAGCAATATTTCAGTGAGGTTTTTTCGTAGGTTTCAACAGTCTTCTTTTGACTCTATGCCTAAGAATGGCAGTGGGAGGGAGTGGCAGAGAGAAACACCCAGATGAATGTGAGATAGTAGGATGTCACTTAGCACCTCAAGGGTGTTCAATTTTAAGCAACAGAGGTAAACTCCAAGGAGTGACTTTAGCTGGGAGCCATTCTATTTTGTATATAGCTCTTGCTGCATGTGGCTGTGACAGACAGGACTATGGTTGTGGTTACCAGAGGACACCCTTGTGGTCATAACCAAGTTGTGTCACCAAGATTCTTCTTGAGTGTCTGTCACATGTTTATCAGTGATTCTAAAAGTAGATAAAAATGAAACAAAGATTCATTTGGGAGTTAGCACTCCCAGCAGATTAGTTTTAAAACAGAACAGCAGAAGGTGTTGTGACATGCATCCCCAAGCAATTGTAATGATTTGACAGTTATTTAGCCCTCAATTCCTAGCCCTTTGGTTGAACTGACAGCATGCCTGCAAAGATAGTGAGGCCTATTTCAGCCCCATTAATGTCTTCTTGAATGTTAGCCTGCAGTCTGGGTAATGATAAATGTTCGCTGATTGATGATTTTATAGTCCCAGAGGATTCTGGGTGGTTTCTGTAAGCCAGGGCAGTCAGTTTTTGTTCTTGTTTGGGCCTCTTGTAAGATTTTCTGATCTTTACTAAAATCGTTTTAAGTTGGCAAAAGGGTGGGTACCACCTCAGTTTTAATTAACTGGGGGTTCAAAGCCTTGTTTAGAAACTATATGATTTTGGAGGTGATGCTGTATTTAGCATGTATAAGAGTCTGAGAACCAGAACAGCTTTTATCCACTGAGCTTTTTGTAACACTTACCGTATTTGTGAACTTTCATGTCTTTTAGGCTCCTTCACTTTTAAAAAACATGTTTTAAGTTATAAGGATAAATTTAATAACAGCTATTGTGAAATAATAACATTAGCTTTATTGTTTTCATGGTGTTTGCAATTTCATTTTTTAGATTCTTAAGAATTTAAATTAACTATCTTTGTGTTTTCTTTTTTACATGGCTCAGTTTCTATAGGAGTATATCTTGTTATACTAGTATTAAAAGGAGTATACAGATCTTCTTTTGCTAAATATTTGTTTGCCATTTAGGAAAGGATTCATTTCTAGTATATTGATTGTCGATTTTTTAAAATATTTTAAGTAAATCTTATAATTGCCCAACCCTTTATTGATAGGGTATGGAGGCAGAGAAAGGAGGATACAGATAAACATTTTCCTAATTTATTGTAACTCAGAAATATATTTTCTTAGTTCATCCTTTTAGAACTTTACTTTTGTCTGTAAAGAAATTGTAGGGCTAATTTTTTTTTTAATCTATAAAGAAATTTTTTGACTTTAATATCTTAAAAGGAATAAAAGCAGCACTTCTGTTTAGTTTTTCAAGTAATGAACCAGAAACTTGGTTAGGAATGACCATTTGTAAGTCTGTATATTAATTAGATGAGTGTCATTATGCTCAATTAGCACGACTGCCAAATAATCTCTTTAATACTCCGGTCTTTTTTTTTTTTTCTCTAGGGTTTTACAGACAGCCCTCATTACAGTGATCACTTGAATGACAGTCGATTAGGGGCCCATGAAGGCTTGTCCCCAACACCTTTCATGAACTCAAATCTAATGGGTAAGTTGGTAATTTCTCTGCAAGTAGTCTTCACAGAGCCTCTTTGGTCAGAGACATTTTTTATCTCCTTGTCCAGGATGGACACCTAAGTATGTAGAAGAAAGTTTCTAAGTTTCTAGGGGCATCTGGGCTTTCTTTGTTCAGCTAAGTTTGAGGGGCAAGCGTTCAGAAATGTGGTTCCTTCTATTAGAGCATTATTGTCATTGCTATCAAAAAGGAAGCAGCAGTGTTTTATCTGTTAGTTTTGGCAGTGTCTGTGCCATCAAGCATTATGTTTTCTGCTTTCTGGGCAGAGAAGCATTTCAGAGACATTTGTTTGTAATTTACTATTTGTCTTAACAGTTGTATATATGTGGTAATTAAAAATATGACAGCAGTGATTTTAGGCAAATTTTACTCATTTTGGGCAGTATTTCTTTTGACACTGTTTGATCAAAACATAATAATATATTTAAGTGTTGCAGCATTTGTTTTAAGCACTTGGGTTCTTATTGGGGATTTAAAAATTTTTCTTCTGCTGTAGTAAAGTTGTACTTTGAACGACATTACCTACCACCTAAACCTGATTATTATTTTTGGCAAAACCTTTAAGGTTAGCCATTCTCTATATCTCCCCCTACTCACTGCAAACCAGCCCTCCCTTCCTCTCTCCCCCTGCCCTCTCACTTTCTCATATCAAAGTTTATAGCTATTCAATCTGAAATGATAAGCCCCCAATTTTTTCCCCCCAGTTTGGATGCCACTCTTTTATTAAGCGAGAATTTTACCTTTTTGCAGAACCTGATTCAAAAGAATCTGTTTTATGACATTATTTTTCCTTCTTGTTTATGCTGGGGCTGAGCACATTACAAAAGCTTTATTTAATCTGTCTTACTGGTTGTCAGTGGTGTCATGTTAATATGGAAGGTTTGTGTAATTGACATTGATTTCATTACTTTACTTCTTAAGGACATGACCTATATTGTGATCTTAGAATTGTCCTTTTAAGAGACAGCCATGCTAATCTAAGTGGATTACCCAAATCCAAAATCCTGGTGGTCTGCAGTTTCTTTATAAATGGTTTTGTTTAGCACAGTCTTTATTTCCCTTACCCTCCGTAAAGTATTGAGGAGATAGATTCTGATATTTCAGTGTGGATTTTGCCTAAGGCAGTTACCACTTTGAAGCCAGAATCATTGAGTATGACACAAGAGTAAAAATAAAACTTCTGTTTAAAATGACAATTTGTTTCAACATAAATGAAAGTGAAAATGAAAATCCTGGTATTAAATATATTATCATTCCAGGTAAAAATCAGAATTAAATATAGAACAAAATAATTATCCTTGCATTTGGCCAGGGAAAACTTTGTAATCTATCTTCTAAATTTTCTGTCAAGCTTACTATCAAAGTAAAGTAGATGTGACACTCCAGATGGTTTCCTTTTGTAGTATAACTTTTCCCCAAGTAGCGTTTAATTTATGGTAAATATGGTAGAGCAAACTATAGTCAGTGTTTTTGTAATTTCAGATTGAACTAAGCTTTCTTAATTAAAGATATAACTGAATTGTGAAAAATCAGAAATTGCCCTTTTTTATATTTATGTTCTTACCTTTATTAGCTTACAGAGATGACTCTTAAGTTCAGTAGAATTACATCATTAGTGCAGCTTTGAGCCAAGGTGACTGTTAAAATTGTGGGGTAAGTGTGGGAAATAAATGAATTCTAAAAAGTATGCATGTCAGTCACTTGCTCTGAGTAGTTGTTGACTAAAAATATTTCTGTAATTCAGTTTGAGGTAACATTTTCTTAGTTGGAGCAATTATGAACATGTGCTTGTTAGTTTCTTCAGTTTACAGATAATTATTAGAATACTTTCAGTAATCACCCATACCGTATGTATAAAATCAGCATCTAAAATAAGTCTTGAAATAAAAAACTCAGGTTTTTAAACAGATTGATCCCTTCACAGTACAAATGAGAAAAATCTGCATTCATCTGAACTACATTGTACAGTTAACCAGGTGCAGCTATACATTTTCATTGTATGTTTTAACTACCTAATCTTAAAAATGTTAATTTACCTATAAGAAAGGGGAAAATGACCCTGAAGAAGATTAGGCAGATATTGTTCAAAAGGATTTCACTGGTTTTGGGAATATCTGATTTACTACACTTCCTTCCTTTTATTTTCAGTACAAATGATCAAATGAGATATCTAACAGTTGAGTCTAAGCAATCTGCAAAATCTAAAAAGCTTTCGGAAATGAATATCCTTTAAATTGTGGAGCACCTCCATACAGCAACAGGCAGTCCCACTTGATGTGACTTGACGTAATTGAACTGTTAGATACCCCCAAATATGGGTTTATAGCACTCAGTAGAGTTACGGTGGATAGATTAACTTTGTTAGCCATTTGATAATTTAGGGGAGTTTTCAGGCTAAAAACCTGCATTGTTAAAGCAGACCTGAGATGTGCATGGCAGTATTAGCAAGCATTTGGAACTATTGATACCTAGTTGTCATAATAGGTAAAAACTTCAGAGTGATTCTGTGAATGATGAGTGCTCAGAAACAGTTAAAGCTAACTGGAAAGCTGTAACATGTTTCATCATTGCTGTCAACATATAAAAACACCATCTAAGGGGAGGTGGAATTGTATGTCTAGGGAATGTTGTTATTTTTCGTATTGTGTTCAGCAATAAGCATATTTGCCTAAAGAAATAGTGGATTGTAGAGTGCTACTATCTTTCATGATGGAGCTCTCAAATACTTTAATGATTTTGTACATTGCAAAAATGAGAAATTTTATCTAACAAGGGTTGATAATGATTCAGTAATGAACAGTTTGCCACAGAAACATGCACTTCTGTATTCATTTAGATATTTTGAAGTGTTTTACATGGGAAGTAAAACTCATGTTGAAACAGTGTTTCTTTTTAATGAATTCCAGAATTATCCTGTTGATTTGTCAATATGGAAAAGGGTGTTTTTCTTATGCTTCAAGTGAAATAAGTACATCCTTTTGGCACATCACTAAGTAATTAACATCAAACAGTTCTGTACTCTACTATAGTAAAACTGCAAAGCTTTGACAATAGCAGTAAATTGCAGTAGTATCACCAAAGAGTCTTATTTATTTCTGTCCTCTTCCAGCTTTGGTCCATTTCTCCACCCTTGGGCCCTTCATTAATTTCAGTAATATTTGCTTTCCTTTACCTGTTGTTGATTAGATGTATTTTCGGTGATGGTAGGAGTAGTTTATTAATTGGACATAAAGGCAAGTTATTTTATAGAATTGCCTCCCTTTGATTCCCAAGTTATTGTGGAATAAACTACTCTATCTACTCCTCCATGTCTATCAAAGCTTTACTTATTTTAGGTGGTGTGTGCATGTATTGTCAATGGGAAACTTAAGATAGTACCTTCAATTTTCCTTTTTTCTGAGACCTTCATTTGTGTTCCTTTCTGAGACCTATGTTGCCTCTAGAGATGTTTTGCTAGTATTGTATCTTTTAAAAACTGGAAGCAACATGTGATGGTATAGGAAAAAATACAGGGCTGAGAGTTAAAGAGGTCTGGATTTTAATCCAGATCCTGAAAAATAACCTTCACCTTTCAGATAAGGTATTGCTGTAGAGTCTCAAAGGTCTTCTGTAGCTCTAGAATTTTATAATTCTATAATCTCATGTAATATCTTTTATTCAGCCCTGGAAAAGGCTGCAACTAGAGTTGTAATTGATATTTTGCAAATGATAAAGGTACATAATGATAAGGTACAAAAAAATTGTGTTTTTTCTTGAGGTCACAGAGTCAATAAGCGGCAAAACTGAATGTAGAGCCCATGTATTCTGACTCCCAGTGTCCTTCCACTAGGCACATTAGACATGTAAGGTACTGGTTCTTTCTACATGATGCCTTCAGGGTTGACTAGCTGAGCATTTTCCGAAACTATACGTATGGAGACACTGCTTTTGAGAGGTGACTATGAAAAAGAGTTTCATAGGGACATAACTTTGGAAAGCATTATATATCACATGCCCCCTCTTAGAGATTGAGATTGTACTTTGGGGTATTAAAGGGATTGTACTTTGGGAAAATAAGGCGGGAAGCTTATTTAATTATGTTTAGCCCATCACAGTCCAGAATCAGATGATGCACAGAAGCCTTTTTGTAAAAAAGCATCATTAGCCTATGGGAAACTAGTTTTCTATGGAGCACACACTGGGACATGTTTGTAGGTTGTGTTAAGGGAAAAATAAAAGATAAAATATGAGAGTTCTTTGAAATGTAAAGTAGCACAAGGTTAATAATACTGCTGGGTATACTTTTATAAGTCATTTTAGGCATCTTAGCTAATTTAACAGATTGGGTCCAGTTGTTGCATTGTTAAACCTCTGTTTTGTAAGTATTTGACTTATAAACAAACCAACAGTCCTTCCATTGTTGTTAGAGTCTGTTTGCTCAGCCCTGCCCTTCTTTACCTGACCGAGTTTAAAGGGCCCCCCTCTATTAGCAGCCACTGCATTTTATTTTCATCTCATTGTGGATTAAATAAGTTTCTCTGGGCTTGTCTGGGAATTTAAACCCAAGTACACTGTTTTCCTATATATTCAGTATTTCAAACAACCAAATTTCAAAGAGAACTCTTGTGTACTTGATTCTGCCTACACTATACTTTATGATTACTCCAGAAATCTCCTAGAGTTACAAAAAAGTGTAGAATCACCATTTTCAGGATATCAAAACGTAATAGAACCCTGCCTTCAAAAAGATCTCTAACTTTGACGTACAGAAATTCTTTCGATAGATGAGATAATGAAAATGATTATAATTGTGCTTAGGGGAAACAGTATAGCTTACTGTCTGGTTTGACAGTATTTCATAAGGATTAGGCCTTCATACGTTGTCCAGTGTTTTATTAACCCCAAGTCTCAACGAAGGATGAGTTATTATTCATTGATCTACGTTCTCTGATCTTTAGATGCTTACAAACACAAAATGTTGGGACTGGAAAAAA